AAGGAAAAATTACGGCTCGAGAATGCATTTGTAAAGATGATTATTAAAAAAGATTGTCGTAATTTTACTTATTAAGTAAATAAGATTGTACTGTACAAGCAATTTACACATCTAAAGTATTGCGTCGAGGGATATCGGAGGAGGAAACTACAAAATATGTTATGAGATCCGAGCAGCAACAATTTGAAAAATCGTAAATACGTGGGATTAAACATTTATATTGGTTTTTCAATTGCGAAACTTAGATTACTTGTATTATTTTATAATTGTTTCACATTGTTTGTCATTCACGAGAATACAATGGAGAGTAGAGTATGAAAAGATTAGGCTAAATTCTATTAAAAACAATCCTTCCCTTTAAATCTTTCGTAATCCGAAGAAACATTTCTATTTTTTTTTTTTTTTTTTTTTAAATAAGAAATTGCTATTTTTAAGTATTACATTTAAAATGAGGCATGCAGTCACCTCGAGACTGTACAAACTATGTAATTATCGATTAGTGCCATTTCTGGTGAAGCGTGCAATAATAATACACAGCGTGAAGAAATTCCCCAGATTCTATTATATTTATACATATAAATATTTATATTTTATAATTAAATTTAATATTTATACGAACATTAAATTTATAATGGAACCAACTTCAGTTTTAATATCGAATTTCCAAAAATGGTTGAAGCCGTTTGAAAAAAAAAAACAAATAACATAAAGTATTATGTAAAATTTAAAAAGTACATATCAATTCTCATTTTTTTTGCAATATATTAGCTTTCGAACATCGAGATAAATTCAATCTATTTAATAGTTTAAAATAACCTGAACGTAACATAAGCTTTGGCAAATAATGAAAAGTTAAAGATACACGTGTGTAATATACGTAGTCCTACTTACATTATTTATAAGAATATACAGATGTTTAAATCATTTTATAAATAAATTATATAAGAAAGTAATAAAATATTTTAATACAATTTAAACATAGATTTTTCTCAACGAATAGAATAATTTCTATAACCCTAAGACAAGAGATAACAGAAGAATAAATACAGCAATCCCTCCATTTACGCGAGTAATTGATTACACGAAAACAACGTTTTAAAATACGGTTCTGTTTTCAAATACAGTCGACCCCCCTATAACACTGTTGATTTTTCCGTTTTATATGAATTCCATGTTGTACGAGTCACTTAGATTTTACAAATACGTGTGGCTAGGCTGCGAACGGCTCACGTATTTGTAAAATCTAAGTGACTCGTACAACATGGAATTCATATAAAACGGAAAAATCAACAGTGTTATAGGGAATCGACTGTACAGTAAAACTTGTGTAAAGCGGACTAGCACGTTGTCGATCCGTTTTGAACAGGTTTTACTTTACTGGGTTAAAACATTATAAACTAAATTTTATTATTATTTTTTTTTAAACATACCTCTATGCAATAGGTTACTGATAACAAAAAAACACACTTTTTCATGCAACTATCATTTATTTCCATAAAGTTGATTATTTAAAATAGAGTGAAAATAAATTGGAGTAAATGAAGGGATTACTTTAATTAATTTAAGTCGAAGACACTGAAAATTTTTCTATATATTTTTTTTAATTTTATTGTCATTAATTAACAACTGTAAACAAAATACCGCTTTAGAGTTTTATTATATGGATTAAAATTAATACTAGAAATTCAGAATAAAAATCTACATAAACTAGAAATCGTCTTAAAATCAAAAGACGAGACGAATAACTCGACGAGAATGTGGGGAAAAAAAAAGAAAAAAATCTATAAAATTCGATTTTCACCATTTTATTGTTAAAGTATCCCTCGAAACAAACAGAATCATTTTAAAGAGGTAAAGAAACAATTCGAATGTTTTATGTTGCTATAGCACTCATCTTAGAGGCCATCGACGTTTATTTGATGGTGGGTGGCCAACACCATCCAAAATGGTACTCGAATTTTCGTGTACGAAATACACATGGTCTTTAAGGGAAAACAACGGAAATATCAATAACAAAACACTATTTTAAAAAAAGATTTTCAAATGTTTGAACCGAATATATTAATTTTTTTAAAATTAATTTCCAAAATATACAACTTTTAATTAATTAATTCGTTATCACTCGCGCTTTAAAACCGAAATAATTGTAGTTAATTAGATACAACAATAAAGATGAATAAAAAATAATAATAAAATTAACGAATAAAATCTTCAAGATATCAATTTGAAAGTGAATATAAAAGAAAAGTTAATATTTTATATTGCTTTATATACATATACATTTTTTTTTAAGTAAAAAAAGATTTATCAATAAATAATAAACTAAAAGCCATTTCCTTGAAGAAAGCGGCGTATGCAATTTGTCTTAACATTTTAAAGTTGTGTGTCGTTATTTTTATTTATTAACGTCCGGTACTCGAAGTCGACAGAATATGACGAAATACCGTAAAGCTACAGCGTTATTTACTTAAATGGATTGCATTCTTTCTTCCATTTCTGTACGTCCTACCGACGGTTATCATTATTTCTATCCTATTACAATTCTATCACAATATAGCATCCACACAAACATCGAACATTCATCAGACGAATGGCTGCTATAAAATGATTGCCCGGCACTTTCCTGTATTGCGTCATCAATACCTGAGAGTCGATAGGGACGTAAACGCGTTCCCTTAATACCAATGGCAACCGATGCAACCTGGCTTACGACGAATCAAATATCTCACAGATATAGAAACGTGGCTACGAATAACTCTATAGAGAGAATGCCCCCCTTATCGTTTTTAAATATTTCGTTCACGTCGTCTCTAGTGTTGATCAAACACAGTTTGGGGGTGCGAAGTACGTGAAGCGAGACGTTAACGAGTGGACGGAGGACGGCGCAGACGCTTTCCGCTAATTACCGAAGTGTCCTTTTAATGTCGCTTCGTCCCGTATATATTTACAGTAATTAATTGACACGGAGGTAACGGACCAACTTTGTCCAGGAAGTTTGTCTTACGTAGAGTCATCGAGCCACCTGGATTCCCTCTCGAGCACCTCCTGACGGAGTCGTTTGTTCGATTTTTTGCATCCTCGGTGGGAGGAAACCAAAGATAATTCGCCTACGTCGTTACATTAAAATGAATGAACCGTAAATATTGTCGGTTCTCCATTGAAATTTCTTACTAAATCTTAACCCGGACGAATTTCGAAAGCCAACGACAATTAGGGGATGGTAACAATTAAGATATAAAAGTTTGAATCTTTTAACGTCGCGACTCATTAAGCGACGTATGAACATACTAGTTAAAAACTAGAAAAATAATATTAAATACAAAAGTACAGTCGACCTCCTATAACACTGTTGATTATTCCGTTTTATATGAATTCCATGTTGTACGAGTCACTTAAATTTTACAAATACGTGAGACGTTCACAGCCCGGCACACGTATATGTAAAATCTAAGTGACTCGTACAACACGGAATTCATATAAAACGGAATAATCAACAGTGTTATAGGGGGGGTCGACTGTAATTTATTTAGTTGTTATCTTTAAAGCTACGTAATACTCAACACCAGAAGCGGAGTAAACATATTTAGAGAAGATCATTTTTTTTCCTTGCCCATGGAAATGTATGAGCTGGGTTTCTACAGTAGATATTTTCATCGATATGATATGGCACGGTCTCGCGTTTTCGACCGGTATATAGTCACTCCGGACGGATTTTTTTTTTTTTTTTTGGAGTATAGAGTATTCCGAGCGTATTATTTGGAAGCCGCGACGACCAATAATAATACGAGTCTATAAAACAAGATTTACCTAGTAATATTTAAATGAAAGTAGATTTTCTTTCGCGGACGTGAACCGAACGTGGTCGGAATGAAACGCGATTCGTTGTCAATCCTCAGATTTAGCTACCCGTGAAATATAGCGACCGCACACTCGACCTTATAGCGGAGGGGAACCGTCCCTGTTTTACGATTCCGAGCAGGTATCCGGACAAACTATTTGTCAACAGGATTTCCTCGGCCCAGATATGAAATGTTCGCTCACACATGACGATGCGGCCATTTTCGAAGAGAATGAGCGATAATCCTACCCGGAATGGAAGTTTTTTTCCATTAACGACTCCTACAAACGATCGTGACTTAAACATTATTATAATGCCACGAGGTTTGGCCGAAATTTTACGACATTTAAAGTATTTCATCCGTCGTGGCGCTTGGTGGAACAATTATAATTTACTGTCGAGTGTAAATTTCAATGGCGGGCATTCAAAAAAATTTCGTTAATTTATTATAAAAATAAAATAAAATAAGTAAAATTAGATTATTCGCTAGTATGTTTATGATATTCTTGTATAAGAAACGGACTAGCTCGAGTGAAATATTCTACTCTTGACAAAAAAAGACTTTCACGCGAAGAATGGACTTAAAATAGATTCGATTCGGTACTATTTAAGATGAAAAGGCGGCGATTACGGGAATAAACGAGCGCTAAATCGCGTTGTCAAACTGGGTCCGTGATTAATGGCGCATCAATTAACTGGTCGTCGAGTGGAATCTATTCCACTGGCGAAATGATTAAAGACGAAACGTGCAAAGTGCAAACTGCAATATCGTAGTACGCTTTGTAGTCGACCGACGGCGGAAAACGACCATTTTGCTGTACTTCTTCCATCGAATTAGGGGAAATTTTCTACTTTTGTGTTTCTAAACGATCATTCCGAGATAATTATCCGTTAATCATTTTTAATAAATAATAAAAACAATTTAGCGGAGAGATCCGATGTCGTTATAACCTATTTTTCAGAAACTTATGGACAATGTATTATTTATTACGAATTGAGTTTTGCAACGAAGAATCGTAAGCGGTAGAAGTTTCTGGATTTATTAAAAACCCGCTTTAAAATGGCGGTAATTTATCTAATTTCTTTATTTTATATAGTGTAATAATTTGTGATTGGACACGATAGGTTAAAGCAGATAGAAAGGAAATATATATTGTCTTACCTGAAGGCTTTGTTAAAGACGGTGGCACGTCAGATTTATTAATGGACAGTGGAGGAGACGAACTCGACGCGGATTCGGTGTTTCCCGAGGAGTTAGTCTCTGTGTCGTGACGAGGTTCCGACGTCACGGCTGTGGTGATGCCGTTAGTCAATTTCGGATACTCCCAAGGCGGATCGTAATCGTCCGACGGCCTGTTATCGTTCCGGGGACTCTGCGCTTCCCCCGAACTGACTGCGTGACAGGGAAACCGGGTGCTTTCCAGAGCCGCCACTTTTCTGGGCACGTTATTAGGCGAGTCTGAACTCACCGACGATTGGTCCATGTCTTTGGTGGTCTTTAAATTGGTGCCGTTCGTTACCCTTTCAGGTCGGTGCGTTTCGTTGGAGGTAGAATTTTTATTTTTGCATGGTTCGGATGGTAACACTTTAATACCTTGATGACCGTGAATGGGTTTCTTGGTAACGAACGGAGAACCGTTCTGATTATTGAGCAAAGTCCTCGGTAAAGGTTCGACGCTGGCCGTAACGCGGATGTGATGCGCTTTGGGCGACGACGACGGATCCCTAACCAGGGTGACTTTTCTCTTTTCGGTCGGTGTCAGATGAGGCGGAAAAGGTCGTGGAGCCAAGCGTGGCGACTCCCTGAGGACGCGAGGCTGATGCGTCGGCGTACTGGACGACGAACAACTACCCGTGCTAGACGGCGGTCTGGAGATGATGCGTAGTCCTGCCCCGTCTCCCGATCCCAACCTGGTCCTTAGATAGTCACTGTGAAGGACGGGACTCTGAGCTAAGCGATCGATGTCTTCCACTTCCCTCTTCACTCTACTGTCGAAGGCCGTCTCGTAAATATGCCTTTGTCGCGTAGTCATGTCGTCGTCGTCTCCTCTTGTTTCTTCAGCTACTGAGGACGATTCGTCTGTACTCAATGGCCGAGTAGGCGATATTTGCAGGCTGCTGGCAAAATGTCGCCCGACACTCCATTCCCATGGCTCATCGTATTCGTCAGCCGGTCGCTCATCCTCGTCGTGACAATTGCACGTGCTCACCTCCTCGTAGTAATCATCGTCTTCTTTATGAACTAAAAATAAAAGAAAAATATATATGTAATTACTTCTCAATAATTGAAAAGCTCCTAGCGACCTTCAGTTTGTCAGGGAGATGGTCGTAGTTTGAAAATCCCTCCTGCCTATCGAGGCGGGTAGATCGCACGTGTAATGGATTTAACTGAAGCGGACACACGTCTCTTGTATAATAGTGCAACGCATGCCAAAACAGGAGCCCGCTTCCAAATTACTCGACATTCGATATATTTTATCAAGATGAACGATTTATGAGAATATTATCTCGCGATATCTATTAGTAACGAAGAGATTCGAGAAAGTTGATAAATGCATTCTTCTCGCCTCTCTTGAGAAAAGAGATTCGAGTTTCTAATCAGACAGGTGGGCAAGCTTCTACATGCAAAGACAAAAATCGATTTAAGAGGAATTTTTCTGTAAAAGGATCCACGCATTCGCTTAAACTCAAAACGCTTCGTCTTCACAGTATCTTTCATAAAGGAAAACCACGTTCAATAGTTCTCTACCTTTTTACTTTACACTTACAGGATTGATGACAATACAAATTCCTGAAAATCGGATAACGTAATAAATACCATAAAACTGACGTGGAGATATATTGATTTTTCCCCCCGATATACCAGAAAATAAAGCTTCGTAGTATTACTTTTTTTTAAGACAAATATTCTAAAAGTACTCCAGTTCTCCGGAGCTTATCAAATTTTCTTCCCGATTTTGCTTTCTTCCTTTACAATCTAATTCAATATGCAAAATTTTATGTAAGTCCGTGTCGGGATCGCAGACGTCCGTAACAAAATCGCACGTTCTTCGTTGTTTTATTTTTAAAATATGTAAATTTAAAACGGGTCTTATATTTCTCTAATATCAAAGAGTTTGACAATCGACAGCGAATAGTTATTGTAGATATAATGAAACGAGAAAAGAAACACCGAGATTTGTTTCAGAAATTGTTTCTATAAAAAAAAAAATATGGAACGTTTTCGATCGAGAAGTTCTGAAAGCAGAAAAATCTGGATGGCAAATCCCTAAGCTTCTACAACCGGCAACAAGTGACTTTTTCTAAGTAAGGCATGGGTCCGTTACACGACCGTCTCAATCGGAATGAGAAAGGTACATTAATTCCGACTGTAGGGACCATTTGTTATCTTCTCCTGGTTACCCACCTGGAAGTATCAGCAGGGTATATATCATCCAAAGCCTCTCCTACATCGATTACTTGTCTAGAACAAAAGTTTTCCACATCACACACGGAACTAGTATATGAAAAAAATAAAGCTAACTGTTAGAAGTCAAATGTTTAAAACGAAACTAATTTTTTAAAATTATTTAACTAGAAAACGATAACGTGTATTTGACTAAATGCACTTTTTTTTTTCGTTAGCGAAAAAGTAGAGAGGAAAAAAATAATGCACAATCAACATCAACTCATTGAAAATATAATATGCATAAAGAACAGTTTAAAAGGATTTCAGTGAAATGTTATAAACTACAGCTTGTTTTTATATTTATTATTATATTTATAAATTTTTATTACCAGGGTCGAAACTACTAAGGCAGATGAAACGGTTGCTTCCAGCTCTTTATATCTGGAAAGGATCCATTTGTCATTTATAAAGTATACAGTTTTTAACTTTTCACCTAGTGTTGTCACTAAAGATAAAAGTGAATGCGTGTTTATTTATGTATATTTATGAATATAAACGTAACTTTGATATTAATATACAGGTACTCGAATTATTCAACAAAAATCTGTGAATAAATTCATTTAACCCTTCTGTTTCAGACCCCAAAATATATAAATACACCTGTCTTCGCCTGTGGATTTTTTTCACTCATTAAATAATAAATAAATAAACACACTTAGACACTGCATAATTTTTTTAAATTTGATAAGCGTGTAAAAACATAGTAAAATAAATATTTTATAGACATTATATAATGCATTCTATTCAACCTATTGGTCGAATTTTATATCTAATTTAGTATAAAATTTTTAATTATTCTCATATTTTGAATTTATTGGCTACATTCAAAAATTCTCGTAGATTTATTTAAAATGATAAAACGATTTGTAAGAATCGATTAAGACTTTTAAAATGATTAATTACGTAATAATTACTATTTTAAAATAATTACGAAAAATTAATTAGCCTATTTCTGAAGACTTTCTATAATCTTACAGCTCGTTAATCACCGTGCGTAACGCATAAAATGAATTCATAATCCGAACTACCACCGATACAACAGAATGAAAATTTGACTCAGACAGGATATTCCCATCTCATAGAAAACAACTAATTTACAACAGCTGTTATGATATTGTAATACGAGGTGTTTATACCCTTGTAAAGTATATCAATTTGTATTAAAATTTGTAAATTCTATAAATAAGTAGAAGAAAATAATTTCTTAGTGGAAAACCAAAAGTAATTTCTATAGCTGAGTTAATCTGTAGACAGAAATTTTATTCATAATTTATGCTGAAAAAACAATTTTCCCCTCGAAAATATTCTTTTCTAGGGGGGAAGAATGATCATTTATATATGATCCAAAGATCATTCGCGTATCTAATTTACGTGACCAGAATTTTCACTTAATTTGTACTTGATATGAAAAATTCCGGAAGAAATAATATCCCTAAAATCAATATAAATTCTGGTAGCCAATGTTAAATCATTTTTGACAATGTTTTAAAAGTTTTTAAAACAAATTTACAACTTACTACAGTGTCTAGTGTGTCAACAAACCTCCGAGAAAGGTCAACAAAATTAATGGTAGAATTTATGTTTTATCAAATACTCCACGAACATATACTAAGATTTTTAAGTGAAATTTCTGCACAGAAGAGCTCGGATTTAACTATTGAAACTAATTGTGTAAAATAATAATTAAAGTGGAGTTAACAAAGTTATTCTTAGGTTACGTTTCCTGGCAATACAACGTAATAAATCGAATTTGACTTTTATATTTGTTAAGAGTCCTTAGACAATGCAAAACGTTATTTTAAAAGGTTCATCAAATCGTAATTTTTAGAATTTATTAATGACTCGATTCATCGGATTACCATACGAATGCAGTCGTAACAAGTCGAGCATTTATCTTATTCGGAATTTATAAATAAGTAGTGAAAATGTAATCCCCGTAACGTTCCATTTCCCGATGGAAAATTTTAACAATGGAACTAATTAAAAGAAACTCGCGTTATCTGTACTAAATCGAAATAGAGGACACGAATTAAGCGAAGGGCCGATAATTAAGTAATTGTGTCACGTGTTAAGTCGTCCCAATACGCGTGTGACGTCGGATCAATTTAAACACAAACGCCAAAAGTCTAGTTGTTAATTAGCGAAGGGGAATTCGATAGACTTAGTTCGAACGCTTTTAAAAACGCATTATATCCGATTGCCGACACTAATTACGACACACTACGGACAGATATCCGACGTTCATTAATAACTGTAACGACGGAGATTAGATGGAGAGAAGTTAGATCAGTTTGTGAATCGCCCGTCCGGAATAAAGGAGCGACAAAAAGGATAAGGTAAAAAGAAAAATTAGAACAGAAGTACAACGAGATTTTTCTTTAACGGGTGCGTGCTTCATAAATCGCCCCTCGAGAGAGAGAGAAAAGAAGAGAAACGGTGAGGTCAGATGTCGCCTCGCGTCATCTACGGGGAGATGTTGTTAAAAGCCTTTTCTTGTCACATCCGGTTCAATGTATTAGTGTCGTTGTCCCAAGACACAGATTCTCCTTCATTAGTTCCAGAGCCGTTTTTCTTCTTCGAGCCCCACATTTATCACACGACACGTGCTTTACGGGCGAGATACATAACGTAAGCGCAGGTAAATAGAGGAAAAACAGGTCCCCGACCGATAGTTTGGGGATGTGATATATCCCGCAGGAGTCCGAATTCCGGTAATGCGGGTACCTACCTACTTTGGGTAAGAGCTTCTTGGCAGAACTACACACGTAAACGGAGAAGCATCAAGAATATACCAGAAGTAGAAAGACGCAACAATGCCGGCCGATGCGAGAATACTTTCGGTGGCCCGATTAAAATAATTAGCATAATTTTTCTGTAAGAAAAGATTACGGAAAATGGCGGAGGAGGATATGGAAAAGAACTCGAGATTAGTCGGTAAGGTGATGGACAGGTTTTAATATCCAGCAGACTGATCGCGCGCGAGCATTCCAGAGTTTGTAATGACGTCAGTCGGGTATTTCCTTTAATCAGCTTAAAGGTCTGGCATTACCGGGCACTAGACCAGAAGGAGTGGGAGTAGGAAGACCACTCTCTCTCGTTCCAAATCCACTACCCGCAGAGAACGGGTGATAATACGATCCAAACATCGACATAAATAAACACGATAGGAAGTCGGCGGTAGCGACGGGAAACGAACTTTCCACTTAATCCCCGGTCAGAGTTACGATCGAGTCCGGAAATAAGCCGCGTCCGAGCATGGCATCGATGGATGTCATCTCGCGAGACTGACACCAAGACCTCTTTTATAGCTTTCCATTCGCTATAGCGCGAGGAGAACTGGCGTAATGAAAATACTTGGTCGAAGGTTGTAATTTCTTATCACACAAATCACGGGTTCTGTCACAGATGGCTAGAATCCTATCAACCGAAACGATCTGACAATTTCTTCTCGAATCTAAAAGAAAAACTAGCGTAGGGCCACACACAATTACGAGAGTGATCCTTTGATCTAGTTTGATTGTACGATGATCGATATCGTTTCATACGATCTGGAAATGAGATCGACCTATCTATGAGTCAAGGTATAACTTGGTAGACGATAGGAAATAATACTTTTTAAAATAAAAATAAAAATTTATCTCCTACTACGGCATATTTTTTTTCTTTTCGAATGTTTTGGCTACCGAAAAACTTCGGTGCTGCCTAAGAAACACGTTTTCGTCAAAGAAAGGAAAAGTGACAAGCGTGACAGAAACGTGACGGTGTGCAAAAAATCCAAACCTCGGATGCCAGCC